ACACACACACACACACACACACACACACACACACACACACACACACAAATTTAATTAAATTAAAAAATTCCTTAGAGTCTTGGTGTACATTATCAGTGATAAGAGTGTGTGCCAGTGTGCTCAGGGCTCTGGGTTCACTTCCCAATGCCACAATAGGTAGGTAGTTAGGCAGGCAGGCAGACACATAGTTATGTAAATAATACTACTTAAGTAAAGGCTAAAAATTCTGACTGTAAGTTGAGCTTTGGAACTGTTGTAAAGAGCTCCCAACTGCCTGAGTGCTGTGTGCACCTATAGTCCCATCTGACTCGGAAGCCAAGTCAAGAGGATCGCTTGAGCCCACTCTGCAAGGTCTGTCTAGGGAAAAGAAAGACAATTCCTCATACCCAGACCTAACTGGGCACTATGGAAGCTTTCTGTAAAGATATGTAGATAGTGAATGAGTGTTATTTCTGTTATTGGCTCGGAACCTCCTCTCTGTTCTTTTTTACTTGATTCCTGGTACATTAAGGCATTGTCTTTCAGATAGCATTGTTATTGTTGCTAAGCTCTTATGGGTAAAGACAGCCTGCTTGTGTTGGGGGAGATGGCAATCAAAGGTTTTGGGAATTGCCTCAGAAGGAATGAAAATGAAAGTTTGGAGACTGGGTTGAAAAGAATAAAAGCAATCTTAGGATTTGTGACAGAGTAAATGACCTATGAACAAAAGTAGGGAAATGTACATGTGTAATTAAACCACTTTTCATGATAGATAATCAAGAAGTCTCTTCCTTGATCTCTAAGCTGAAAAGAAAGTAAAACTATTGATAATTATCCTCAAAGAGGATGAATAGTGAAAGCAATATTTAGGGTCCGGACAACTTTTAAACAATTTCTCCCTGGGCTTGGAGGGCTTGGGGGGGGTGGGGGGTGATGGTGATGGTAGGGTAGAATCGTAGGCCTTTCCCATATTGAGCAGATTCTCTAAAGGGCTGCAACTTGAGTCCTATTTTGTTTTACTTGACATGTGAAACTTGATTGCTGATTTGTAGCCAAACATAGAAGTTGATGTGAATAACCAACTTGAGCTGACTGCCCTTTTTGTTCATTAAGTTGACCCTGGAAATTCAGGTTTGGGTTTTTAAATAATAAAATTTAGTGTGTATGTGCAGTGTGTAACACAAGACAGCTCTTATCCTAATTCTGGAGCCAAGCATGAATGGTTATGGCAGGAATTTAATCATTTCAAATGCCATTTCCTAGTACAAATACAGTTTGTGAAGTTACAGGACAAAAAGTCATAAATCAAGAAATTTTTCTTGGTTCAGGGGGTTAGAGCTGTCTGATATTCTTGGCTATTGGATTGGTGAAAGCTAGGGGTCTGATACTACTACTGCCGATTTTGTATGAGAGCCACACAGCTGTCAAGCACAGGTAGGCAGTGAATGGCTGTTGAGACTAAGATATATTGATAGCCCAAGAAAATTTGGCCCTGAATCTTCAACATTCCAACTCTTCACAGTGTGGCATTCTAATCAATCAGCCTTGGTGACGTGGATATGATTATTATTATTATTATTATTTTTTCTGGAAACTTGAGTTCACGCTGGTCAGTTTTCTAAGCAAAACAGGAGTGCTTCTCACCACTGAAGAGTATTGTGCAAGGCTGGTTGAACTTTTTGAGGGGAAACAGAGCTTGCTCAGCAATTGTGGTCTGGAACCAGAAAAGCGCTCTATCAGCTCTAGGGTAGAGGGAGCATTTTAAGGGAAATGAAGATAAAGGACTCTAAACATCCCTCAGCTCCCATTGGTTGGTTATTTTTGGTGCCAGAATTGGAATTCTTACAACTAATTCCAGGTTCTTCTTTCTTTCTTTTTTATTTGTATAGTTGAAAAAAAAATAGAAATTCATATTAATTTATTTTCCCATTAAATGAAAGCCGGAAGGAGTATGCTGTCCCCTGAATTCAGTGTTGATGCTACCTTATGTTTTACAGCCCTCCATGGGTTAGCAACAGGAGGGTGTCAGGGTCAAGGAATTAAAGATACCTCAAAAAACACAATCCTTGTGAACTTCATTCAGTCTCATTACATCTTTCCCATTGACAAGGTGAGACCAGTCTAGACCTCACTGACTCATGGGGCAAACATGTTAAATCACTTGGCTCCAAACATGGGTAGTGTTGGCTCTGCTTTTCATTTTCTGGCGTTTGGAAAAACCAGTTACATTGGTTTCTTCATTTATGCTCTTCTTAAATTATTTGTTAGCTGCTAGTGCAAAAGGACCTATAAAAATCATGTGGCACTCAATTTTATGGTAGGTGCCTGGGACCTAGTGATATAATAAGGGTTTGTTGGTCATTGTAGACCACAGGGCTGCAGTGGCTTACCAGGTGTCATAAACATTTTAGTGATTTGTCTTTATTGAAGTAGCCTGTTTTTACCTTCTATTATCTAGGTATGGCATAGTCAGTCTGTGACCCCTGTTAAATACTTGAATTTTAGCTTTTGACCTCCAGAAAAGAATGAAAGTGCTATAGTAACTACTGTCCTGTCTTTTGAATCATGTGTATTAAATGTTTCCAAGGAAGCTAAAATGCTACTTTACAGTACAGGAAGAACAGTATTGGCTTACGTGTGTGTGTGTGTGTGTGTGTGTGTGTGTGTGTGTGTGTGTGTGTGTAGGGGGGCCATTAATGCCTTCCTGTGGCCTTGTTCTGCCAAGGCTTCCTTTAGGATTTAAAGAAGTGATGTGTTTGCTCTCCACTTCAGGAAGAGAGATTGATTCTTGCTGATCCAGGTTCAGGCTCTTTTAAAGAGTTATAAGGTATGAGGTAACTTGGGGACATGACCACAGATACTTTGTCCATGTTTCTGTCAGAAAAAATAATTCCAGTGAATAATTCCAACTATATCTGGCTAGGAAATCTCATTTAAAGGCTTAAATTATTCTTGGTATTAACATTCATGTCTCCTGTGTGGTACACACATTGATGGCAATCATCCATTTGACTTTTTGCCCCCCTTCCCCCCCATTAAAGGTCAGCAGGCTTTTTGAAAGTTGAAACTTTCTAGAAAGCTTGCTTTCTCTAGAGGCTTTGTGTTATTTTGATATTAACATTAATGTCTTGGGACAGTTACTAACTAGTTAGACACTTAGACTCTGATCCTGAAGTCACACTGTTTTAAATGGAGCTTGCAGATAGATGTTCCTTCAGTGGTGACAAGTTTGGATTTTGTCTAACCAAACTTAGTTGTCATACCAAGCTAAATAATGGTCCCTTTTGAATCTATAGGTTTTTTTTTTTTTCTAGGTGTGTTCACAGGATTTAAGGGGAAATTGTTAAATTGTTCACTAAAATAATGACTGAATTTTAAAATGAGTAAAATATTAAATGTGTACATATCGCCACCAAGTGGGAAAGAACAGCATTGTTTGTCAGTTGAGAGATGCTGAAAAAGGAGAAAGGAAAAGGCAACATTGTTTCACAGGACTTAGCATCTTTTAAAAGTCAATTGCAAACAGAAGTATTTTAATTTTCTTATTCCAGTCTCCTTGTAATTTATCTGCAATTTGTATATATTTATTTTTATTATTGTGTTACTACTGAACTATGTAGAGATAGAATTTTGGTCAATTTACTTTTAGGAGTAACAGTTTGGGGACATAGTATAGGATTTCATTTGCACCTTACAAAAGAATTTGTTTCAGTTGAATTTATTCTTGTGTTAGTTATTTTGAATAATTCTAGTGGCTATAGGAAAATATACAACAGCTCATAGGCTATTGAAGAGTCTTATTTTTCGTATGCTTGAAAAACTTTCAAGGTAGAATCTTGATCAGTGTTGTTTTTTTTGTTTGTTTGTTTTTGTGGGTGATTTTTTTTTTTTTTTTTTTGGTTCCTTTTGTTTTATTTTGTTTTTGCTTTTTAAGGTAGGGTCTTTCTGTAGCCTTGACTATACTGTTTTGGAACTCACTATGTAGACCAGGCTGGCCTTGAAGTCACAGAGATCTACCTGCCTATGCCTGTGAGTGCTGGGATTAAAGGCATTCACCACCATGCTCAATTTGATCAGTGTTTTATTACATAAAGAACTGTGAGCCTGTTTGACTAATTTTATGCCATTAATTTCCAGTTTTGTTACAGTACTGCCATGAATACTCAATATTCACTCATTTATCATTTCAGTGTGCTTATAGACTTCAGGTATGAAATAAAAGTACATTGTGTGGTAATTCATTCAAATTTGGTAATGCCAATTCACCAAGGAGTTCATTGTCCAGTAAAACACTAACACTGTGAGAGTGCATTAGCCTAGGTTTTTGAGATGTGTCATACTATGTACTTGAGGACACTGTCATTAAAAGCCTGCCATTAAAAGTAAACTAAATCAATTCCGAAACATGCACAGCCAATAGGCATCCCTACAGACTCTGAGTGATATGGACCTGGGTCCAGTGACCATAACATCCTTGGCCTCAAGTGTGAGCATGCAGGCATGAAAGCTCCTCTTGTTTTGTGTTGGCTAGTTAGGTGTTACAGGAACAGTATGGAGGCTTCCCACTCTGTTCCAGAGGCCACCTCAGGCATTCCCCCTTTAGGCCACCCTATCCTGGCCGTATTTTTCTAAGTATGTACTGCTAGATAACCTATCTTTTTTTCTCTCTCTCTCTCTCTTCATCCCTTCCTCCCTCCCTCCTTCTCTCTCTCTTTCCCCCTCCCTTCCTCCCTTTCTCCCTCCTTTCCTATTAGACTATAAGTTCTATGAGGGTAGAAATTTTGTTTGATTGTGTTGTTGTTGTTTTTCTTATTATATTCCTGGTACCTGTAAGATATATAATAAGTAATTTGGAGAACTAATAAATACTGAATACTCAGCTCACTTCTTATAAGTTATTATGTGTCAGTTACTTGGAAAGTCGTCTGATTAGGATTGAGAAAAGAAAGTGTCAGTATATTTGGAGGCTGTTCAGGACATGTTGTTGTTGATTTGTTGAAGAGGAAGCAAACTGCTTACTGTCCCACAGACCTGAGACTATATGCATAGGCCCATATTTTATTTGTTTGTTTTTGTTTCTTGAGACAGGATCTCACTATATAGCTCTGGCTGTCTTGGAACTCATTGTGTAGACCAGACTGGCCTCAAAATCACAGAGATATGCTTCTCTGCTGCCCAAGAGACTTGAGCTGTGAGAATTCAAAGTTCTGCTAAAAGCAGGGCTGATCTCACAGAGGGTATAACTCCCAGATTTTATTAGAACAGATAATAAAGTCTTCATTTTGGTCTTTTTGACATGATGACTTCCTTTATAAATTACCAAAATGATTTGTTAGGAACTAACTAATTCATATATTCAAAAGAAATAGAGTATGATCTTGAATTTAATTTTTTTTTCTGCCATTTTTTTTCCAGATTTTTTTGCCCTCCTCCTTGTGTGTATCTTATGGGCAGTGGTTGGAAGAAAAAAAAAGAACAAATGGAACGAGATGGTTGTTCTGAACAAGAGTCTCAACCCTGTGCATTTATTGGAATAGGAAATAGTGACCAAGAAATGCAACAGCTGAACTTGGAAGGAAAGGTAAGTTCCAAATGTTCATTCTGCATTCACTTTTGCAGTATTTATTTTAGTTTTTTGTTTGTTTTTTTAACACCAGTGTTCATTATACTTTTTTAAACAGCTTTTAACAACAATTGTTTAAATGTGTATATCAGAATCACAGTTATACTTATAGGACAGCTGTGGTCTGGTGACTTACGAGCTTGTGTGTTGGTATTTAAAGGTATCGCCGGGAGGCTTCTCAGGCTTCCTGGCTGCTTTAGCTGTAAGTCATTTCTTTTGGAAACCAGTAGTTTAGTGGATAAGTCCCTCATTTTCTACCTGGCAATATCGTGATACTCAATAGTGAAAATGTGTCTCAGCTTTAGTCCTTAGTCTTGATCCCCTGCTGAGACATGATAGAGCATAGGTCTGAGTCCAGCGGCCATTGGTTAACCAACACCAGTGCAGAACATAAGTTACTCAGAGAACAGTTTCTCTACTAGATTTGCTGCCAGTTTTGTGAATTTAGAAAGCAGTAACATCTGACTGTCAGTTCAGGAAGATAGTTTGTTCATTTATTATATTCGCTAATTTACTATTTTCTCTTAATAGTAAAATTTAGAAAATGGTTCTAATCTCAGTGACTGCCTGGCATCTGACGTATCATATAAAAGCTATTTCTGTATTTAGTAATAACTCTTGGTTGGCTATCTTGGTGTTTGTTTTGTATTGGCACTAGGATAGGATGGCCAATAGTGTTGTGGGTGGTTCACTAGGAATTAGCATTCTTAGTCACATTTAGTCATGTTCAGAGAGTACTAAGAAGCCTTAAAGCTAACCTTCAAACCTGTATATTTGTTTCTCATTTTGTTGTTAATGGTTTTTAGTCAATAAGGTTATGTTGAACATGGATTTAAAATTATTTGGTCTGATGTTTATTACAGTAGTGAATGCTTATTGTAAAAGAAAATAGAGTAGTAAAACCATTTTAAATTATGAGCCTTGAGCTTAAAAATATTTCACAGACAGGTTGATCTATTCTCCTATTATAATTTCTGGACTTACATACAGCATACTTCACAGGTAGACATTCAGTTATTTAGTGAATAGATAGTAGGTTAAGCCAGGGATCTAGCTACCAGTATGTATAACTGTGCTGACTGAACTTTATTCTCATTTTAACCAGTTCTAGCTTTTAGTCATTTCATCTTCCAGTGAAGTAATACATCCCTTCTGGATTGTAGTGCTTGGTTTTATCACTCCTGGGGCCTGTCTCAGCACGAAGCCCTTCCTCTATCCGATGTTGGACCTTCCTACCCAGGTCCTGGACATTGGTAGGATGCAGGTGCACATGAGCGTATGAGGAGGTAAAGGGACTGCTCAGAGGAGCCTGTCCTCTCCTTCCGTCATGGAGGACCCAGGGGGTGATCTGAGGTCTGGCAGCAAGTGCCCTTGACTGAGCTGTCTCACCAGCCCGTGTTCATCGAGTTTATTTATGTTAACACTGAAAATTAAGTGATCTGCTCCTAGGCTTTCCCATTAGGATATAGTTTCCTTGTTTAGGTACACATCTCATTGCTTGTGACTGTCTCCTCTAGTGCACTGACTTTATCCAAAGCAGAACAGTTCCAGATTTGATGTTTAGCTACTATTTAAAAACTGTGGTGGGTCTGTGTATGAACTCAAAGCTACCATAGCTTAGTACGTAAGAGAACCGCCTCTGCAAAGGTCTATTTATTGTCTTATTTTGGCATCTTCGTAGCAAGTCCTTTCAAAATTGAAAATATTCAGGATCATATTTATAGTTTCTCATGCAAATTTTGTTATAGACACAAACTATTGAGGTATTTTTATCTGCTACTAACAGTCTGCATTGGTAAACATTTTAGGGAGAAAAGCCTAGAAGGCAGTAGCTATTTCCTAAATAGTGATACTTTTTCTGTATTTTAAAAGAAGCACACAGTAGAAGTAGTTGAAGTAATTTTTGGACATCATTTATCATTTTGTAAAAATGGTGAGTATGTTGGTCCAGGCCTCCTCAGGTCACAGTGATTAAAGGAATAGGAAGAGTTTTAGTATCATTACATACATGTGAGGTGGCAGCATTTTAAGCCTTTCAACGAGTGTTGTACATTTAAACTTGGTTCTTTTGGTGGTATGAATAAACTTTTTAAACAAAGTTTATTTTTAAAATAATTCTTTAGTATATTCTTGAATATACCTAAGATGTTTTATGCTTCCATTCAGTCTAGCACTATTTTCCTTAATTTTATATGTGATTACCACACCATTCAGCCACAGAGAAACAGTGTGTGAGCTATTTTGGAAACTGTGACCAAAAGTTTTTACAGAATTCTACTAAATTATGATAACCTTATTACTTTTGTTATAGATAGTTATCAGTTGTTTTTAACTACAAAAATAAAATGATTGCTGTAATACTGAGTAGTGATTCTGTGAAAAGTGTAAAACTAAAAAACAAAGTAAATATGGATCATAGCGTTTTGGTTTTTAAAGTAAATGTTACTGTAGTCATTTGTGTATATAAATAAATTAATGTCTTTGTTGGTAAGCGACCTGTAGACACCTGGAAGAGTCTTTTAGCCTGTGCTGCGTGTTCTGCTGCTCCTTGTCCAGATGGACCTTTAGGATCCAGCTGCATCCTTGCCCGCATCCTTGCCCACAGTTTCACTTGGGAAGACCAAGTCCTCAAGCTCTGCTTTGTCCGCAGCTGTTGGAGCTTGGCTCTTAGATACTTGGATTATTTTTGTGCAGCTTTTTTGATTTGACTTAGACAATGCTTCCCACTGTGATTTTTCCTCTTCCTGTACTAGGTGGACTTGTATTTTCTGGAAAAATTAAAGTTGAGGAACTGGAATAATGGATGTAGTAGTTTTCTAACCACCTGAAGGACTTTGCTAATGGCTGAACATTGAGGACCACTCTCAACTCTGGAAGGGTCTAGGAAATGCTGGACTCAAGTCCAGCTTTTTGGGTTGTTTAAGTTGTTTCTTCTTGGCACCTAGCTGAGTGTGAGCTGTCCTTGCTGACCTCTATCTTAGGAAGAGGCTGGCTTCTCATAAGCCTGTCATCCATCCTCATTGTTTTGAAAACTTCTTAAAGAAGATTTCTCTTTAGAGAGTGATAACAATTTGTTGGGTGATCTATCGGATCTATCATTCATGCCCATGCTTAAATGTAGCTACACTGTTCTGAGCTGAAGATAACATAAGCATCAAGGGTTTGCTGTTACTAACCCTTTGCTTTTCTTCCACAGAACTACTGCACAGCCAAAACATTGTACATATCTGATTCAGATAAGAGAAAACACTTCATGTTATCTGTAAAGATGTTCTATGGCAATAGTGATGACATTGGTGTGTTCCTCAGCAAGCGGATAAAAGTCATCTCCAAACCTTCCAAAAAGAAGCAGTCATTGAAAAATGCTGACTGTATGTATGCTTGAGTTTCCTTATTTGTTTCCAATTCTCACATTGCATCAGTGAAACAAGGTTTTAGGTATAAGTGAGTAGTGGCTGGCCTAATGAAGTGATTGATTCTCAATTACAATGTTCTGAGAATCTGAGTTACTTTAGTAGAATTATTTTAGAGGGGTTATAAATGTTTCCAGGAACGTTTGAGGAAATTGAGGGGTTTTCTCTCCTTTTGTCACAGTGACTTGGTGGGAAGATAATGCTTTGGACCAGTGATGCTAAATGTTCCACAGTGTCCAAGGTTTTTCCCATTCCAAAATAATCTTTTTAGAGTGATAGAAGTACCCACTTAAAACAAAACAAAACAAAACATAATTTGCTCTAGAAAATGAGGTAAGGCCCTAAACCAAAGTCTCTGAGGCACGAACTACTATTTCATTGGCAGATTGTTAAACTACCAAGGCTATGTACTGTCTACATTTCAACACATTTAGACTTGGTTGGCTACCTTTCTTTGTCATAAGTTTTTATTGTATAAACTTTGAAATTTATGTAAAAGGAAGAAAGCAGCCTGATGCAGCACTCTTCCCTACCCTCAGCAGTTTCACTAATTCTGTTCTGTGGTTGCAGTCACCAGCACCTCCCCTAACCTTTCAAAGCACTGCAGAGTGTGTTGATCTAAATCTCCAACATCCTGTCCTTCCAACTAATTTCTGTAAGTGTGGATGTTGCTTAGTGGGATAGAGTGCATATGTAGAGAGCATGTCGAAGTCGGCCTTGCCATTGGGTGACACTCCAGGTGTTTATGTGTACGTAATTTAAATGGATGGGTGCTATTGTAATCAGTTTAATCAAGTGTCTACCATTAGACATCCATCTACTACTCAACCATTAAATGCACTGTGTAGCTCTCTCTGAGTGAGACGTTGATAGCTGGGAAGTCTGGGTGACTTGTACAAGAAAGTTCTTTGCATTTAAAAAAAAAAAAACAACTTATGCGTTTTATAAAGCCTAAACTGACTTAAGATTAGTTAAAAGGAAATGAAACTAGTAAACAACAACAAAACATTTTAAACCCTTTTTATGTCATTATCTTGATAACCTTGATCTTTCTTTTTTTTTTTCCTATCCATTATCTTGGAAGGCTAAAATGTTTGCCACCAGAATCTGCTCATTATTTGTATTACTGTAAACTATTTGTAAGCTGGTCGTGGTGGCACATGCCTTTGATCCCAGCCCTTGGGAGGCAGAGGCCAGTGGATCTCTGTAAGTTCAAGGCCAGCTTGGTCTATAAAGCGAATGCAGGACAGTCCAGGGCTTTTTCACAAAGAAATAAAATTTGTCTCAAGAAACCAGAAAGAAGAAAACAACAACAGTAAAAATACTTGTTTTGCCAATCAGAAGCCCTTCTTTTGTGAGCCCCTGCCCCTGTCGTATAAATGGGAATCTCTTGTCTTGTAGTGTGCATTGCCTCAGGAACAAAGGTGGCTTTGTTTAACCGACTTCGCTCCCAGACGGTTAGTACCAGATACCTGCATGTAGAAGGAGGAAATTTCCATGCAAGTTCACAACAGTGGGGAGCCTTTTACATTCATCTACGTGAGTATAAAATGTGTATTTGATATTTTTAGTGTGAAAATTATAGTCTCCTTTTGGGGTAATAAAACATGACTATATTAAGTTATTTTCTTAAGCATATACTAAATTTTAAAAGATAACCATTTGGTCTATTTTTTGCACCTACTATAGTGGATGATGATGAATCAGAAGGAGAAGAATTCACAGTTAGAGATGGTTACATCCATTATGGACAGACTGTCAAACTTGTGTGCTCAGTTACTGGCATGGCACTCCCAAGATTGGTAAGACTTGAGTTTGCTTTGATGACTATGAAGTAAAAATGAACAAAAAAAGATAGAAAAATGTAGCTCATTTTTTATGCTTTTTGATGTGAAAATGTAATGTCCCTTGCATCTTACCTCTGTTTGCCATTGTCTCGGTTCAGAACTGCTCTTAAAGAATTAGTCTATGTTACAAGTGGATTGCTGACGTCAGTCTCCGTTTCGGTTGTGTGCCCCCATGGTGCAGATACACTGCATCGTGTGTGTGTGTGTGTGTGTGGTCTCTGCTATATCTAAGTATAGGACCAATCTGTCAAAAGCCTAGAAATAGAAGTTTATTTTATTTTATTTTTTTTAGAAATAGAATTTTTAATTATGTTACTTGAATAAAACATTTGTTTAAAATTAGATAGACTTGATATTTTTTACTTTAGGACAATGCACAGCATTTGGGCTTTTTTTGTTGTTTTGTTGATTAGGTCGTGAAACTGTAAGATATTATTTTTCCCTTAAGTTGAAAAACAAATCTTAAATTCTGCTTTCCATGAGGGCAGCCTTGAGAATCCTAAGTGGAAAGATGTGATATGTGCAAGGGCACTATACAGATCTGTCAGAGCAGACGTGGCTCTAGGAGCAATGTCTGAGTCAGGTGCTTCAGAGGTCGTGAAGTACTGTGGAAAGGTGCATGAGGGGCGCCTGTCTGGAGGTTCTTGATGCCTTAAAAAGCAGTTACAAAAGAAAATAGGGCCGTAGTTCTCAACCTGTGGGTCAAGACCCCTTTGGGGGGTTAATGTCAGGTACCATACATGTCAGATACTTACAGTATGGTTCATAACTAGCAAAATTACAGTTATGAAGTAACAGCAAAAACAGTTTATGGTTGGGTATCACTTCAACACGAACAACTGCATTTAAAGCGTCCCAGCCTTAGGAAAGGTAGAGCCACTGGTCTAGGTTATGATAGTTGTAGAGTGTAATGGAAGGTGATCAGGCATCCTGCCCTGGGTTCCTATGCTCATCTCTCAGATATTAACATTTTCAAGGACTTTGCCACTTCCCTGATCCCATTTTCAGATGAACATGATGGTTTTGAAATACATTAATAAATTATTTGATCCTGCTCTAATATGTCTGCTCTGACTAACACTCAGTAGTAGCCTACCATGGATGTTTCCCTGTGGTATTGACTCTGTATGTTATTGAAAAGATCACCAGAACCAGCCAATCAAAATAGTTATGTTGATTAGCAGCATTCACAACACCAAGCAATTTATTAGAAATGCAGAATATCAGGCCCCAAATGAATTGCGGTAGGTAAGGCACTTTTAGTCAAGAGCTCCAGACAATTCTTGTGTGCACTAACATTTAAAAAGCACTAGTCCGGACAACAAATGACTGCCTACCTTATTTTTTAATGTGTTCTTTGAAGGGTTGTATGTTTATAAATGTAACATGTTTATAAAAGGTATACAGTTGTTTTGCTCCTAACCTTATTGTTTAGAACAAAGCTAATATGTTGTTAGGTAGTATATGCTGTGGACTGAGACAGGGTACAAAATAAAGACTGCATGTGGATGACTCTCCTTTTTAACTGTTGAAATACAGATAATTAGGAAAGTTGATAAGCAGACAGCATTACTGGATGCAGACGACCCTGTATCACAACTCCACAAATGTGCATTTTACCTTAAGGATACAGAAAGAATGTACTTGTGCCTTTCTCAAGAAAGAATAATCCAGTTTCAGGTATGTTGCAAAAACGACTGGTGAAGTCTAAGCTGTATGAGTAGGACTGGGGGCGCTGCTCAGTGACAAATGCCTGCACAGCCCGTGCTTAAGACGGGGTAGACCAGGCTAGCTGTGAGCTCACAGCTCCACCTGACTCGCCCCCTGAGTGCCCAGAGTAAAGCTGTGCGCCACCGAGCCCATCTGCACGCTCCAGGGTTCTTAATCTGGCATTCAGGAGCCTCAGAACACCGTAGAGCTCTGGTGTTCAGTGAGGCCTCCAAAATGAACTGTGTAGGAAAAACGTTCCACGAGTGGGTTTAAAGCGTCATCCGCTTTACAGCTGAGGTCCTCCGGTAGTGACACCGCCATGACTTCAGGGCTGATACCCAATTACATTTACTCAGAAACTTTCCAGGGGACACTTGTAACATGGATTGCTGCTGTAACAAGATAGCTGTGGTTTTATGCTGAACTCCTTTATGAACTGCTGTTGCAGAGTCATGGCTCCATACCACATTAATGGGTGGACTGGGTGCCAGGTCAGGCTTTGGGGCTGCTGCTTCATTCAGGCTTTGTTTCCTCCTGCTGGAAGTGCCAAAGCTCCTAGTAGCAGCTCTGCAAACATAAGGATCTCTGGTGATTCTTTCTTAGTTGTGTTCTAACAAACACTACCACCTGTGCGGCTTCACATTCATAGTCTATAGAAGTATATTGGGATGTTCCCAGATTTTTTCCCCAAGTTTTCTCCTTGTTAACTTAAGTCTGGTGATGTTACCTGGTAAATTCTCTCATAATGCGATGTTTATAAAACTCAATATATGGACATTTGTTTTTCTTAAGGCCACTCCATGTCCGAAAGAACCAAATAAAGAAATGATAAATGATGGAGCTTCCTGGACAATCATTAGCACAGATAAGGCAGAATATACGTTCTACGAGGGAATGGGCCCTGTCCTTGCCCCAGTCACTCCCGTGCCTGTCGTAGAGAGTCTTCAGGTGAGATTGCTCAGTCACAAAGTGCTTTTGTTCTTAGCCATAACCCGCCACAAACCCACTTCACTATGATACTGATTTTTTTTTTTTTTTTGTAAATGTTACGATTTGGGGTCTTATTACATATACTATTGATAGAAAATAATAGAAGCAGCATGTTTACATCACATTGAATGTTATCTTGACATAGCTAGCTTTGCAGTCATGTCATTTAATAGGCATGTTTTATAAATCTGCACTTGTTAACCTTTGTGAAAATGAAAGCAAGTGTAAGTGACCCAAGCTGTGTTGTATAGTGGGGAGTGAAGACTTCTTAATGTGGTTTCTCTAAATTGCAGTTGAATGGCGGCGGGGACGTAGCGATGCTTGAACTCACGGGACAGAACTTTACTCCAAACTTACGAGTGTGGTTTGGGGATGTAGAAGCCGAAACAATGTACAGGTAGAGTCTGTTCTGTTCATCACCCAGGGCTTGTGAGGGTGCAGGTGCCTGGGGTTGCCCCTGCAGAACTGGGCTTGCTTTGAAAATGCTTTTAAGTGCTGTGTGTTTCTTCCTCAGATGTGGAGAGAGCATGCTCTGTGTGGTCCCTGACATTTCTGCATTCCGAGAAGGTTGGAGATGGGTCCGGCAGCCAGTCCAGGTTCCAGTAACTTTGGTCCGTAATGATGGAATAATTTATTCCACCAGCCTTACCTTTACCTACACACCAGAACCAGGGCCGAGGCCACACTGCAGTGCAGCAGGAGCAATTCTCAGAGCCAACTCAAGCCAAGTGCCCAGCAACGAATCAAACACAAACAGCGAGGGAAGTTACACAAACGCCAGCACAAATTCCACCAGTGTCACGTCATCCACAGCAACCGTGGTGTCCTAACTACCGTCTTTTTGCTGGGACCTAAACTGACTTGAATGCGGCAAAAAGTTGACAAAAAAAACCAAACAAAAAACAAAACACGAAAAAGAAAAGGCAAGGATAAGATGAACAATCATCTGTGGTTTCTCGGGAAAACTTTTCATACCAGGTGATCTATTCAAAAGCCCGTTACCTGCAAATACTGATGTGAAATGCAGAAGCCACATAAATGAAAAACATCAAAATGTACAAACTGTTGGAAATGAAGGTTTTCAGCTGTCTCTCACACACACCCCTTTTTGGTTGTTTTTATTTTTATTTTTATTTTTATTTTTTGGTTTGGCTTTGATTAAACGGTCAAGAAATAGCTATGTGGCTGGAGTACAGGTTAGGCTAGATGACACACATCTAACATAGTTTTTATGGACCAAGGGACTTGCATAAGCTTTAGTAAAAGGTACATTTCACCATGCCTTTTTTATACCACAGTGTGTAGTACACCATGTTACCAAATAGGTTACGCTCCCTACCCTTTGAGCGAAGTACATTCAGGTTCGAGCCTGACCATGCTTGTTCAATCTGAGTACTGAACACTTCCAGGTTCTTTTGGTCTAAGGCTGGAACTTTTTTTAAGCTGAAGTCTTATGACTTTTTCATACGTTGGAATTATTTTGATTTCAGCAAGTCAAATTTTGTAAAGGCCTGCATATTTTTTTTAAGATTATATGAAGTCTGCAAAAGCTTTAAAAATGCCTCTGCCTTGCCTACAATACATGCAATGTATGTTAACTTAGTCTATTCTCAGATACTGTTGGTAGTTATTTCTGTGTTTTTCTTTTTTTAAAAAAAATGTATTTATAGTGGTAATCTAAGAGATTAACATTTATGTGGAGTTCGGTGTGTCCATTTAGTCATGTCTGAGTTAATGGCACCGAACATCACCATTCAAAGGGTGTGCGCCTCTGCCTGTTTATCAGTTCATCTGTGTTCCAGGATTTGTTCAGGTTTCCCTCCTCCCCCAAATCTTGTACATAACTTGTATTATGTGTAAGTTAAACATTTTATCTTTAACTTGGAATGTTCCCAGTGATTACATTTAACAGGGTGTTTCCCACCTTGTTGGCAAATGACTAAAAAATATCATGAGAATTATTTGCTACCAAGATGGTGCCCTTAGGGTACAATGAGGAAAGTCTCTGCAGGATGATTTATTGTACTTCTTTGTCCTTTTTTTTAGCCTAGGCCAGAACACCATTATAATTTTAAACATAAGACCATAAAATGGCTTTTATTAGATGATAACTAAATAAACTGAACTAAATAAAATAGCCAGAAGACAGTACCTTAGAAGCAGATAGTTGTAAGTTTATAAAACTACAAATGTAAGTTATATTTCCATTTTTCTCTTTGCCCTTTGTTTTTCCCCAGAGATGTTCTGTCCAGTTTTCTTTTCTTGCCAGTTAAGCTTTGGTTGCAACCAGGCCTCTGTGTCAGCCTGGGATGCCAACATTGCCAGTTTTCTTTTTTGCTTCCATTCCTGCACTTTGGAAATGTCTTGTTCAGTTCCTTAGGAATTGCAGCAGATTCATTGGGCTACATTTACTACAAGAACACGCGTGATGTTAAAAGACACAGTCTAGTGATGCCATCATCCTTCATATAGTAAAAACTACCTCTAGATTGTGGTAAGCTTTTACTGTCCCTTAAAACAGGAGCCAGTAGTACCTTATGAATGCAAACTGTAACTTTTATCGCATTTTTGGTGTATTTCTGGCTCCCTGGGCTTATGAAAGTTTTCACGTAGCCTCTTAATTCTTTGTTAGGAGCATTGCTTTCCAGATTTGCTGATTTCACTTACCGTTTTATAGACTGTGCCACTGTAAATGCCTCTCTGAACATCTTTAAACTGCCTCCTCCTTGGTTTGTCAAGGGGAAGGCCATCTGTAAAATGCGTGGCGGTGCCAGGCTTCTCAATCCCCCAGGCTATGTTGAGATCAGCTGCAGTCAGTCTCCTTCCCTGCCCCACACCTCCGGTCTGCTTCAGCGGTCAAGGGCAGAGCTCACTGTGGCCTTACCTTACCTATCTTTGCAGTAACTGTTCTCAGCTTTCTTCTTTCCCAGAGCCACTCTCCAGTTGTGGTGGAAGCAGGATACTGCTATCTGTTCAGAGCCTTCGTGGTTCCCAGTGCCCCTGGGCTCTCCAACGTCCTAGATTTGGGATTAGTTAAGAAATCATTAAGTTAACTGAGATTTGAAGAACAAACTATTCCTTACCCAGCTTTGTAGCTTAAAGTAACTTTTCAAGTTCATGGCTTTATTAAAACGAACTTTGACTTTTTAAAGTGTTTATATCTTATTTCGGTTTTTTCGTTTATTTTAATAAGAATTGAAACAATTAGACTATAAGTCATTTTCCTGTTTTCTTTTCTTTCTTTCTTTCTTTTTTTTTTTTTTTTTTACAAAGTCTAAGAATGTAACAATAAAGGCATTTTTCCATGGTTCTCTGTCAGACTCCTACCATGGAATAGAGTGAATTGATATGTCTGTTTTACCATGTTATTGATAGTTTTTTTTTTTTTTGTCGGCTGCTTTTATTAAAAGTCCTTTTTATGGATTTGTAAATCATTTTCAATATATGATGTACATGGGTCTTGTCCCTGTTGCTGTAGAGTGTTCTCTCGCTGATGATACTGTTGCAGATGCTGGTTCCTTATCCTCATGAAGACTTATTAGAACAGGGAGTTCTTCAGTTGCAGTATGTGGGTGTGTTTTTCAGTTCTGCTTAGAACGAGTCTACACCACTTCTTAAACATGTCTAGATGCAGAACCTGAGACCCAGCATGTTTTTTAGCTTACTGAATTTATCAAGAGCTTGGAAGGCAGGCTAAAAACTGAAAATGTGGGATGCCCTTTATATGGTTTAGAGCCAAACACTAGTGGAATTTTGAACTTGCTGCTGACTGCTCTTAAACTGTGGCAACTTCCTCATGTACAATTGACTAGTAGAATCATCTGTCACCCTTACTGCCATCATCTTAACTTTAACAGTTTTGTATCTTTCTTTTTTGTGTGGTGCTGGGGTCAAATTGAAGGCCTCAAGCATATTTGCTAAGGCTTTTTGTTTGTTTTTTCATGAGACAAGGGTCTCACCCATGTAGCCCCTCAGGGCATTCTTGAACTTTTCTGCCTTAGCCTCCAGGTGCTGGGATGCCAAGTATGATGGGATGCCAGCACTGCTTTTGTCTTCAGAGAAACTGATCTGTGTGTCATCTAACCACAGAGGAATTCCAATGCAATTTTTAATAATTAATCCAACTAGCTATTTAATCAGAAAATCATCTTTTTTTGAGGGGGGGAAGATTCCTGTTTGAAATAAAATGCTATTTGATTATTAACCAAGTTAAGGGACATTGTTTTCCAAAGCAGCTGTGTTTCTGGTGAGTACTGAACAAATGTCTGATTTTCCCTGTCACTTTTGATTTCTTTTTCAAGCACTGTAACTTGGGATGGATGTTTAGAAACAATAATATATTAGGGTTTCTACTTAACCCTTTCAGGACTGAGCTGGATCGCCTTCTATTCATTTCTCCCTGTGTCGTGATAAATGTTTGCCAGCGTTCAGTACTGTGTTGGTCCAGATGTAGTTTTATGTAAAAGCTCAGTTTTAGCTTATTTCTTGTACCTTGCAGCATGCTCTACACATTCAGTCCTTAAGGGGTTTCTTTACAAACTGTGCGTCTGTAAGGGTTATTAGCAATAAGATAGAAAATTGAGCAAGTTTATATCATAATTTTGTAGAAAAAGGAATCTGCTCAATTCCATATTTCATCCATGAAAAATCTGCAATACGGGCAGCTTCTAGGAATAAATAAAAAGGAAATGTGTAAACCATTGTAAATGTCTTCTGTGGGATGTGCCTGATGCATGTATCATCATCTTTGATTTAAGAATTCCTCATAAAATTTATATTAAATTCTACATTACAGTTTGTGGACTTAGAATCTTACCTTGCAGTTTACATGACATTGACGTAATAATTATGCTGAATTGGCTTCCTTTTCAGTGTTTCCTAAAATGATTTTCTTTTCTTTACTGTGTTAGTGGAGTTGTTAATTGAAGGGTAAATCTCCCAAGCCAACCCCAACAAAATTGGAGACTGCTTTTTAGCAATGGCTTGCTTTTCTAGTACAGGGTTGTCATTTTGTATAGAATACCAAAGAACAAACGTAACAGTTTATTTATGCCTTTAGGGGACTTCCCAAAAGAGGGCTGGATATACTTCATGTATATAAGTATCACAAATATAAAGGAAGAAATTACAGTTTCTAGTCTCAGGTTTAGTGTTTCCCTAACCTCCAAAAGGGAGTTGTGAGAATTTCGATAGACAAACCTTGCTATCTTAAGAAATGATTTAGTTGAAAGTTGCATTGTGAAGTCTATAAAGATTGAGACTGACAGTGGGTCATTTGATTTATAATTTAGAACAGCAGGCTTGTACTCCATACTGTAAGTAGTATGTAATCTCTTCCTGAGCAGTCTTAACAAAGATTGGTTTTAATACATTGTGTCTTTGGCTATTGGTTCGTAAATGGTGACATATTACAACAGTGCAGAAGGCAAGCTCTGTTACCTTCCACACACAGTAACATGAGTGGCTAAAGAGGGAAATCTCAAAAATGGACACATAACAAATATATACCACAAAAGAGTTTCTTTAAAAAAAAAAAAAGTTTAGAAAACAGCTGATAGAGAGATGATACTATTATACATAAAATGTCCATTAGGTACCTGACTCACCCCAACTTGGGGTTAGCATGTAGGGCACAGGGCCCAGAGACCCTGATGGATTGGGCCGCTGTGCACAAGACTTGGGTTAGGGGTAAGGTCACTGACATTCCTGAAGTAGAAGTATTCAGCCAGACTAAGGTGCTGCCATTCTGTGGACTGAAGGAGCACGGCAGATCTTAGTTTCTCAACCAAGAGCTGCAGGTAAACTGAAATACTAGAAAAGCGTCTCTGAGTAACTTGCATACTGAATGCAAATAAGTTTATCTTGCACCTGCTGGAATTAGTGTTGACTTTGAGGAAGTGACACTTAAAATTTGATGCTCTGTAAACATTGCAAATGTGAGTGGGCGGTATGTGCCGCATTAGTGTCTTTTTGACTCAATTAATCTGGCCCTTGTTTATCAACCCCTGTGTCGCTCCTCATTCCGGAGTGTTATGCTTTACCCAGGCATCCTTTCTTGCAGTGCTGGGCCAGTTAGGGCCCCGAGCATTTATTTAAGTCCCAAACTGTCTAGCTACCCCCTCCACACACACGGAGGATATAACCAGGTTATTATGGTTTCATCTTGAACTGTTTACTCTGACACACACCTTTCCAACGTGGTATGTAGGTATTTCAATGACAGTGAAGTTTGGAGAAATAATGGCTTTTGAGGACAGTTGGACAACTAGCGTTTAGACAGATGCTCTGTCTACTCTTGGGATTTACTGTGCTGAGAAAGTAAATTATGAGTCGTGAATATAGATTCCGAGGGTACAAGTGGTGTGATCCTTCAGAAGAGCTCAGCAAAAGGGTAAGGGAAAGAATTTACCTACAAGTATGGGTATTTATCTTTTTTCCTTGATGCTTTTTGTTTGGGAGTCTCAAATGTGCTGTGTAGTTGAAGATGGGTTTAAACTCCTGGCCCTCCTGCCAAGTACAGCATGTGCTTCCATGCCTGGCTTCCCAGTGTTAATTAAGATTTCTAGTTAATTAGGACCTTCTAGTAACCAGAAGGTTAGGTTAGACTTTGTTAGGACAAGACTGGGATCTTTAGATGCCCTGTAACATTCCAGGCCTAGAGTCAGTTAGGGTGCTATCCAGTGCCAAAAACTGGAGTACCACTGCCATGACAGACAGGTTAGCATAGACTGAGTAGCAGTGATGGAGAATGGTTCTCATAGCCCTGGAAGCTGAAAACCCAAGATCAAGGAGCCAGCACAGGGGATTCTGGTAAAGGTGTGTTTCTGGCTTGCAGATAGCCGGTTTGTGCTCTTGTACCAGTCAGGCTCCACCTATAGGATCTCACTTAACCGTAGTTTCTTCCTGAAGACTCTTGCCTCCAGATAGACATTTAGCTGTTTAAATGATAAATTATGTGTCTGCTGATGACATTCGTCTCCTGCATTTTAAATCCTAGTTGAGGTTTCTCGGTACATTAAGATGAGGCTTGAGGGGGGCAGGGATGCAGCTGGGCAGTACAGTGCCTCCCTGTGTGCTTGACGCCATCAGGGACAGAAGCTGGCAGCGCAGGTCCTACTCATGACCGCTGGCAAAGTGTGAAGTTACTTTCTCAACCGACTGAGCCAGAATGCCTGTTTTAGGGAGGAGATTGCCTGGATACTATTAGGGAGTTTTCTCAAGGCCAGACTAGCTGGGGTGTCAGATTTGCATCAAGGTTTTCCAGAGACACCCTCCTGAGTAGCACACTAGGTTTCTCCTAATTGTCAGAGCTAGGAACCTAGGCGTTGACCCTGGATGGCATTGTGGCAGGTTGTGTCTTCTTTATGGAGATCAACTCTTCTCTTTGAACCCTCGCATCTCACAGACGAGGAAAACAGGCCTAGAGAAGCTCAAGTGTGCTCTTGTCATTGTGGATTCAAAGCTGCATTGTAAACAAAAAGGTGCTGTCCAGTTTTGGTGTTCCAGCCTGTTAATATTCTTAGGACCCTGTCCGAGTTACATCCATAAATTTATGTTGTACACATTAGAGAGTGGTCTTGGGCATCTCAGTACATTCTGTGTCCTCTGAAAATAGCAGGTCTTCGTCAGGAAACATGTTCCCTTGAGGTAGATGTCCCATGTTTCTGGACCTCATGTTGGCTTTAGGAAGGCCAGGACTTAATGAAATGAGCCAGAGTATGAAATAATACCACCTTTGTGCTCAAGAAAAACAAAACCCTGTTACTCTGCCATTATCTATTTTCTAACATGTAGCATATGAGCTTTAGTTCTATGAACACTCAGCTAAGTTTTATCTGTGGATATGGAGAGGTAATATAGTTACTAGGAGAGAATACACTGAAGACTTAGCTCTGTTCCTGTCTTCTCCCTCTGCACATGGTTGAACATCAGCCTAGAACCTGCTCTGCCTGTTGGGTTCAAGATTCTGTTTGGCTTATGTTTTATGGTAGTGTGACTCTACCTCAGGGCAGATGTCTGTTCTACTCCTCTTCCCCCATGAGAAAAGAATGATACTGCAGGTTTTAAAAAGCCACCTCTCAGGATTCACCAGTGCACGTAGAGAAAGGGGTCGAATGGGTCTCCAGGGGTGATTAGTTTCTCTCAGAGGCTCAAGCTCTCTCAAACTAGTAGACCAGGCAGCTTATGGAAAGGAGGCCCAAAGATGGATGCTGAAACTGCCCATGCCTTCCAGCTTTTTCCAGAAATGTCACTTCTACAGGGCAGGTTGTTGGCAGCTCAGGCGTGCATTCCACCCATTGTAGCTGATAGACCATTGAGAGGCTAAGCAGAAACAAACATGAGTCACATTGGCATTGTTTGTCAGATGAACTGGTCTCAGAAAGAAATATGTCACAAGAAGGAGGAAAGAACAGTGAAGAACCATGATCCCTATTCCAAGCCTCTCTCCAAGGCTCTGCTGCCATTCATTGGGAGGACTCTTATTGGGTTAAGATTACATAGTAAGACTTCCTGGTTTCTGCCCTCTGCACAGCACTAATGGCTGCTTGTAGAACTCCAAGCAGTGCCATAGGCAGATACTTCAGATCTAGCCAGGAGTACAGCAGATCCTTGCTTGACATGAGTTACTTTGATAGTAAGGAGAAAGGAGAAACTGGCAGTATTCATACAGGGCAGAGTAGGTGGGGAAAGAGCAGGGAAACAAGATTTGCAGTTAAACAGCACAGAGGCCGTTGGATGATGGGGCTTTGGGCTCTGAAGTCTGCTGCACACACAGTCACCTCTGGGTGGTGGTTAAGGCCATAATTCTGATGGAACTGGAAAAACAGTTTGAGTTTTGTGTTGCCTGTCCAGAGAAGGCTTTCCAGCATGTATAGAGGAACCCTGTGGAGGACAATTCAGTGCAGATTCTTATTAGTGAAAAACCTAGTGGTCCTAGACAGAAATAGGAGTGGTTGTCTGATAATTTGAAATAACAGTTTCCAGATCGCTGTAAACTTATGAACAGCCGTTGTGCAATTAGGTTCTTTTGCTACCAGGGAAGGCTTCATTTCTAATCACAGCTTAGCTAGTCTGTCTCTGGGGGCTATGAATGTTGCCTTTCTAAAATTCCGCCCATCTCATACGTGACCAGAGTTAGGTGACCAAGGGTCAAGACACCCACAGCTGTTCAGTATCCAAAAAGTCAAGTACCCAGGATTTGGAGAAGCTTTTAAAATCTGGCTTGAAAGCAAAAGACCGTCTCTAATTGGGTTCTTTCTCATGAGAGCAGTTTTTACTAACATACTGTCTAATTAGGAAACAAAACAAAACCTGATGAGCAGTATATGTCGTAGGAGGAGTTGGGCTAAGCCCATGTCTTAAGGAAGGGTTACTATTGCTGTGAGAAAACACATGACCGAAGCACTTGAGGAGGAAACATCACAGTTCATCGAACAAAGCCAAGACAGGAACTCTAGCAAGGCAGGAATCTGGAGGCAGGAGCTGATACAGGGGTCATGGAGCAGCTTAACTGGCTGCTTACTCCAGTTTACTTGGCTTGCTTTCTTAGAGAATGAGGACTGCCAGCCCAGGGATGTCCCCACCCACAATGCCCTTCCCTGTCAATCATTAATTTAAATGTTTCACCAGCTTCCCTATTATGGAGAGGAAGTTTTCTTATTTGAAGTTTCATTCTCTCAGATGACTTCAGCTTATGCCAAGGTAAAACTAGTCAGACCAGCACAGCTCTGGTGCAGGGTGGGTTTGGTATGGGCTCTGCACAGGCTCTTCCCTACAGCCTGGAAGGCAATGCCTGTTCCTCTTCTCACAGTAACTGGACCTCTAGGTGACAGCAGGTGACAAGAACCTTCACAGTAGGCTGTAGATGCCTGGTGAGCTAAAAATCGGACTCCCAGAGGTGGTAAAGGGGTTGAGGGAAGAAAACATAGTTGGAAAATACAGAAAGCTGCTCACATCTGTACTACTGCGTGCTTTGAAACCTTGCTCTGAGCATGAACAGAGCCAAGGGGTCTTTTGGAATGGGATGTTGATGTTTGCTGGTAGCAGTTACAACACTGGCTTCTCACTCAC